TGGAAGAGGAATGGAAGTGAATTTGAGGTGAGTAACATGGGGCCATTTTGTACGGATTGGGGTTGTGTCCGTGAGAAGGATCAGGGGCAGGGATACTTTTGGCGTAGTCCCACAGCTAATAAGGAATTCATCACAGAGTTTCGCATGCCTTATAGAATTGTTCACAGTGGTAAGGAAACAGAGGATAAAACTTTCAGGAGCAATTTTTTTTTTTTCTTTTCTTTTCAGTACTGGAGATTGAACCAGAGCCTTGCCCTGAGCTCCATTCCAAGCACAGCTACACATTTCACAGTTTGAGATGACATCACTAAGTCACTAAGTTCTCAAACTAGATTTAAATTTGTCATTTTCCTGCCTTAGCCTCTCAGAGTGCTGGGGTTATGGGCATACGACATACAACTATCTTAGGAACAACTTCATAAACCTCTCCTAACATCTGAGATGCCGTGGTGACAGCTGTCTCTTCAACAGTGTTGCAGTCAGGGAGCTTCCCTTCTAGGAGTATAGCATTACTATGGAGAACAGGAAACCATGACAGCGAGGCAGCTCCTACAGGACACCCCTGCCTCGTCCACCTCGACTTGCCACTACTGTGGTGCTAGCAGCTGGACAATGGGGATTTCTGAAAATGCAGATGTGGAGAAGTACATGACTACACAAGTGCTTGGTGGCTGAAAAAAAAAAATCCCCAAATCCCTGTGCATCTCAGGTTCAACCACACTAACACCTGAGCTGCAAGGAAACAGGAATGCAGGCTTTAGTTTTGCAACATCCGGGGAGGAGGCAGGCATGGCCGGAGAGCGCTTTGCAAGTGATAGCCCAATGGTTGATCAGAGCAGCACCAGGCTGATGGAGGTGATGAGAGCAAGACGACTTCTTCATCCTTGCTGGCAAGGTGAGATGTCTTGGCCTCTGTACCATGGTGAGAAAAACATTTGGAAGTCTGCTGCTGTAGGGGTTGCATGACAGTTTCCATTGCAAGCACTCTGGGTAGCTTCCCATACAAGGGGTTGGGTTTTATGAGAAAGCCAAAGCTGGAGATACTAGATGTCATTGGAAAAATACGGTGTGTGCTTAAATTTTTCAAGAGTCATTTATTACAGTAAAGGACGCATTGTCACTGATCCCCCTTCAGATGTCCCAAGCTTTGCTTTGCTCACCCTTGTCCCATTGTTCTTGCTGCTTCCTAAAGCAGCCCTGAAGTGCTCTTTTGCACATTACATTGCCGCAGCTGCCTTGATGTCTTGAGTTGATTCCGACTGTTTACCGTTCGTGGTCAATTTGACTTTGGGGGTGAGTCCCAGGCTTCACACGGCAGATCTGGTGCCTGAGGACACACCGCCATGGCTTTATGAGCAATAGACACCCTATTTTTGATTACATAAAGGTGCTCATGAAAGACCTTTTGGAACTGCTTCAGAAAGTGGCAAGAATGGTGTGATTAGTGCCTTCAAAGGGAAGGAGAATTTCGAGGGGGTGTTAATAGTGTTGTGTGTTTTACCATAATAAATATTTTTCAGTATTCACCGTGTTCTTTGATAACCTCACATATATTTACCATCATTGGAAAGAAGAGATCACACAAAGTCATGGGAATAAACTGTCACCCAGAGAGACTGGGGGGGCAAAAGAGAAAGAGCTTAGGGCCAGACCTGGTGCATCTGGACGCTGGAGCCCAGGGAGGGAATCTCCTTCTGAGTAGTGTTTGTCTTCTAAGCACACTCGAATTCATATTCACCCTTCAGAAAGAGAAGCAGATCCAGAAAAGCCAGAATCCCTTGCAAAGTCATGTTTAAGAGCATGAACTGCTCTGGCTCCTAAAGTGGCATCTAGCCTGGGTCCTCCTGTGTCGCTGGCACTCGGAACAAGTATTGGTGGATATGTAGGCTGCAGTAATGGTTAGGACAGAAGGGCAGAGCCTCCTGAGGTCAGCTCCCAGGAGCTGTGCCACAGAGGCCCGCCCCTCCCTGGCTCCACTGAACACCATGGCACCGGGGCACCATTTATACTTTTACTTGAGTATTATTTTTGTAATGTGGAAAATTGACAGCAAAGACTGAAAGCTATGTTTGAAGATACATTCAGTGAAGCACTGTCTTTCATAACAAAAATCTGAAAGCAAATTAAACGTGTATTCCTAGGCAAATAGACAAACAATAATACATTCAAACAGTGGGACTACAGCATCTAAATGAATGAACTAGATCTATGTGTATTCAGATAAATCTCAGAAATTTAATGTTGTATGAAAAATGCAAGTCACACAATGTTATATAAAGTATGGAATCATTTATTAAAAATCTTAAAATCACACAAAAGTTTGAATTATGGATTCTTACAAGAGAACAAATATAAGGTTAGGTAAACAAAGGTCACAGACAAATTTCTGGGCAGTGGTTGTGTGCACTCTCTGGATAGCAAGTAGGGATTGGGCAGAAGGGTGAGATTTTAGCTCTGTATGTATTATCTTATGAGAAGTAAATATAGAAAAATATTAACAGTTATTAAATAAGTTGATGAAGCACTGAGGACATATTATTTTCTATTCTTCTTAATTAAAAATAAATATAAGCATATATAAAGTTTGCATTCTCAGAGCAAGAATCAGGCTTTCTTCCTGAACCTTGGTTCAACAGACGACTAGGCAAAAATGTACACAATAGGCCCTGACTTACAAACACTGCAGCTGTGAACTTTCACTCCAGTTATGAATGGACCTTGCATTACAAATGTCTGCAGATGTGAACATATTGTGAAAGTGGCTGGACGCTGTCACAGCTGTGCTGCTGTGGGATTATTGTACAGTGCAACAGTGTACAATATTTGTGTGTGTGTGTGTATTTGGGTTTTTTGTGCTTTACATTATATATTTGTGCCGAAAGTATATAAGACTCACTTTTTTGCACTTATAAATGAATCTGACTCCTGAACTTTCTGCTGGAATTTAACTTGTTTGTACATTAGAAACTCATACATATATACATGCATTTATATATACACACACACATATATGTACATACACATATGTATGTGTGCATATGTGTACACACATGTAAACACAAGCATATGTACTTACACTTATACACATGCATATATGCATAACTTCAAATTAAAACAAGCTTTACTGTATTGGGAAAAATATTGCCTGTATCACAGTTTCTGAGAGTGATGATGTTAATATGATGTGACCGTAAACCTTTTCTGGGATTTGACCATGTACCAAGTTTACAAACACCAGGCATCATCAGTGTCTCAAGTAGACTGACCAGCTTGGCGTGATTGAGGTGTAGCAGGGAGGGCCAGAGACATCTTGGCTGCCCCTACGTAGGGATGAGGAGTTACAGAAAGGCCATAGAGGAGCCCAGTCAAGTTTGGTGAGGAGCCAGCAGGCAGAATTCAAAGCCTAGGGAGGCCAGACAAGTGTCTACTCCCCCTGGTATTCATTCCATCCATTAGCAAGGTGTTGTCCTTGCCAATATTTCTGGGTCATTTCAGAGATGACTGTTTTTTTGTTTTTGTGGAACCGGGGATTGAACTCGGGTCCTTGTGCTTGCCAGGGAAGCGCTTATTCTACTGAGCCACCTCCCCGGCCCCCAGAGATTACTCTGAATAACTTCTCTATTCTACCTTAAAATTTTTGCCCCTGGACTGGAATGCTCACAGATATTCCCAAGATTCTGGATCTCTCCCTTGTTTGATAAATTCTACAAAGCTTCCTTCAGCACTTCCTTCTCTTTATGCCTGTTCATACCAAATACTTTCTGGGCACCCAGCCACACGCCAAGCCATCATTTTCTTGTGGCTAGAGAATTCTGAGGAGGAATGAGATAGTTTAGGAACAGGAGGCATCAGGAGGTGACGGGAGATCAGGTGAAAATAAAGTTTTTGCATGTGGAGGAAGTCATGTGATTTTCTCCAAGGGCTGGAAGACATTAGCCTACGTTTTACTTGTTGTTTTCATCAACTCACTATCACCTTCCTCTATAAGTTCTGCCAGTATAATAAGTGGTTGTGGTGTGTGTGTGTGTGTGTGTGTGTGTGTGTGTGTGTGTGTGTACACTTTGGGGTTGGGATGTGGAAAGGACGGAAGAGGGCAGTCTGTAAAAGCAAGTTCAATGTTCACGCAAGAGGCACATGTTTTAGGTAGCCCAAGTTCCCAGTTAGAAAAGTGACTTGTTTCACTTGCATAAAGGTGACATTTGCTCATACTATTCCCAGGATCTGGTTAACCCACAAGCATTACAGAATTCAGTTTTAGACTTTCTGCGTTGTCCATTTCCTATGTGCTTACCGCTTGATTTATTAGTCACCATTATCTTTTTTTAAAAAGCCACATTAATCTTTTAAATGATGTTCCCCTTGTGTCTGTAGCAATTGTTTTTCTGAGCATTGCTGCATGGAAACTGAAGTTAGGCACCACTCACACTGCCGAAGTCAGAGGCATACTTCGGCTCAGAGGGCAGTTAGTAGAAGGGAAAATGGAATCTTCCTAGAGTCAGAATGCAAGAAGGTGGAACGTTTGCTTAGCTCACACACACTGAGGCTGCGTGTCCCTTCTCATGAATGCGTGTGTTGGTTTAATCAAAACATAGTTGCTCGACTCAGTTAACAAACAGCTCCAATCCCAGTGTCTCCTCATCTCCAAACCCGCCTGTGTGCTGTGCACTTGGCATTTGGCTCCGGGGATTCACCGTCCTTTTCAATGTCTGTTCCTCCCAAAGAATCTACTCACAGAAAAAGCCAGAGACAAAAGGAAGGCTTTACTGAATGTTTCACAGATGAGAAGCAAGAGGAGGGAGATGGGACCTACTGCTCCGCATATGCCTCAATGTTTCTATTTCTTCTTCGCTGTTCCTTGCCCCAGGCCCTCTCATATTTTTTTTCCTTAAATACTTTCTAAACCATAACAAATTTGCTGCATTTTTAACCCTGTCTTTTCTCTTTTCTTCCTTGAGAAAAAATGGAATTTATTTTCTCTGGTTTTTTTTTTTTTTTTTTTTTTTTGCCTAGCAGTGGAGGGCCTCTCTCTTTTTTTCCTGAAACAAAACCTCAGGGGCTCATACTTTAAGCCAAATGGCTTGGGCAGGGCTCATCCCAGTCCTGCAGGTCATTTGCTTCTTCAAAGACGATGTGAGATAACATGGGAGTGTCAAGTTGGGTGTCACTAGGCAAATCACAGCCGCCTTAGTCAGGATAGGACGGCGCCATTGTGTAGATGTTCCTGCCATTTTGAAGCCATGATTGCCTATCAACAGCTTTGTTGGGGACTCACAACCCCCCCACAGAACTGATTTCCCAAGAGGAATTTGACACAGAGAACAGTTGTATCTCATACAGGGAATGGCAGCTGGTCCCTGGCCAAATGACAGCATCACCTTGATCATTATAGAAGGATAGAGAATTTGCTGAAGACACAAGGTCACTCTGGAAGACATCCTGAGCTTTGTCACCATATTCTGACCCACTGCAGTGACGCCCAGCCACTTGTCCCTGATATCCTTTGTTTTATATTGATGTGGCAGACCTTCATTTGGTTGGGAGCTTCTACAACTCTGGAGTCTTGGATCACAGATGTTGGGAGGTGAAAGGGGTTTTGGAGAGATCCAAACTTAGTCCCTTAGATTTTTCAGGTCTGGGCACCAAATGAAGAAGAATGGGTCAAGGTCCAACAGTGAATTAGTAGCTGGGCTGGGGCAGCCCCATCTCTTCTGATTCCCATGTAGGGTTTTGTTGCCACACTCTAGCACTCCCACACTATTGCTTTGAAAGATACTTCACTTTTTAAACCCTGGATATGTATCTTTCCAAGAGATGCAGAAATATACTACTTAATATAATTTGTGGTTTCAGTCTTGCTCTAACGTTTTCTTTTGGCCCAGTGTTTGGATAGATGAAGTACTGTTCAGTAGAGAGTTGTTTGCTTCTTGAAGATGCTGTTCAGTCGAAACTATTGTATAAGAAGATGGATAGCACATTCTCGACAGGAAAGGTGTCTGTATCCACATACTGGAATTGGTTCACCATGACTGATATGGTGGTGTTGGCTTGCAAGTAATCCAGCAGGAACTGTGAGAGATTCTGGTATATGGTTTTAGTTTGTATTCCAGACTCGCACACTGTCACCGTAGCCTGTCTTTTGACCTTTGTGTTGATGAGAAGCTCCAGCTTCAGGTCCATAGAGTGATTGGAGCACCGCACTAGAAACTGAAGTTGGCAAATGACAAAGTACAAGCCTGGGAACTGGATCACCAGGTTCCCGTCATGGTATCTGACTCCGCTGAGAATGCCGTCCTCGTTCCAAGAAATCTTGGTGCTGTTGAGATGCTTTGACACTGGGAAGAGGAGCACGAAAAGCAGAATTATGGACCAGATTTCATCTCCAGATTAGAAAACTCTGGCTTTATTCAAGAGCTTTGTCTTCTTTAATGTTACCTGTTGTACCAATCACCTGAATATGTTTTCCTTTACACCCTCTTGGTCTATTTATTGAAGCCACAGCTGAAAAAGCCCCTTTTCCCCTTTGCCTCAGTGCTCAGAGATAAAGGGTCAAATATGTGGCCCTGCCTCCTTTATTATAAAATTATCATACTGCATTCCTATGAGGATTAGTGTCTTTCCCCTTACACTATAAGCTCCTGCATGGTATTCTGTACAAAGTCTGCACTATCATGTTCATTTATTATAGATGAATAATCAGTGAACCACTGCTCTTTGGTCTGCATTACAAAAAGTATCAGAGATGGGACAGTTGATATTGTTTATAACCATGTTAGGTACAAGTTGCCCAGGAGAGTATCTGTTAACTTTCATGTTAAGATATATCCTTTAATAGGCCACTGTCCGAATATTTGAATGTCCTCTTTCTTTTCAGGGCAGCAGATGCAATTGCTTAGGCCCCTCACGTGTACATAGAGGAGCCTGCCATCTGGAGTTCCATAGCAGAACCTCTGAGCAGATGTGTTTACAACAGAAGGTGTGTCTCTGAGTCCTAACAAATGAAATTTAGCACTGCTTAGTTAAGGTACCTTCGGAACTGGGAAGCTGGCATGTTTGTTTTAATTGTCTTTATACTTTTCCTCTAAAGCTTGTGGCAATTCCAGTGAGAGGTAAAACTAATCTAACCACAAAATTGAATTTTTAAAATGAACAGAGTGGCCCTTCAGGGGATCTTGGCCATCTCCTCTGCACCTCCTTCTGTTGCCGTGGAAGTGCCTCTTCTGGCTTCACTTACAAGGGATCTTGTATCTGAAGTACACTGCAGTATGCAAATAGGCCCTGTGTCAACGTGTTCATTAGACTGTCAATCTGGGGAGAAGGCAGTTTTGTGGTTCCAATTATGGATACTTCATGGAGATGAAGAGCCTTCTACCCTTGTTTTAGAAAAGGACTGTGTACTTGGTTAAGGCTGAGAGGTAGCTGAATAGGGAGGATGGGGGAGGGAGGGGAGGAAGTGGGGGCTGGGCAACAGGTGGGGTGTGGGGCAGAAGAGAGGGAGGCCTGTAGATTGGATGGTACTGATCTCCCCCTCTACTTTCTCCCCCAGGGTGTCAAACTCAAATTATAAAAAGCATTCTGCTACACAGAACACACTTGCAGGTCCCCTCAGTCCTGGGCTAGCCATGGTTCTTCTGGCTTAAAAGTGGCTGAAAGGGACAGGAACCAGTCCTTATGCCCTTGGGTTTCCTGGGCTTGGCTACTGACCTCTGAGGTAGGCCCTTGACTTCTTGAATGGAGCCCTTTCCAGGATGCACAAGAGGTCATCCGAGCAGTTTCCTGAAAGCAAAGAGATCAAACATGAAGCCTTCTGCTGCTCTGGGAATGGAGACCCCGGACTTCTTTTCATGAGCCTTTGACATTGACAGTTACTATTTTGCTTCGTGGGGGGGGGTGCTTCTTTAGTTCTCTATGTCATTACATGTTTTAGGAGTTTTACTTTTCCAAAATGTATGTTTTTAATTGATTGCTTCTACTTGGGATTTTTTAGAAGACTGTAGACATAATGAAAAGAAAAAAAAAAAAAAAAAAAAGAAAAAAAACAAAAAAAAAACTTGACAGGAAATATCCTCATCACTTTCTGCATATTATCTCATTTAATCTTCACAGCAACTACAGGAGTTATGATTAAATGCCTTTAAAATTTTATTTATAGGGGACAACCTGCTTGGGCCATCGTTCTGCCCCTTTCTTAGACAGAAGCTTTCTTTCCCCCAGTAAATATATTCTGTTCTAAAAAAATATTGATTTATATACTTGGTACAGGGTCTCACTATGTGGCTTGGACTCATAGTGATCTTCCTGTCTCAGCTTCCCCAGTGCTGGGATTACAGGTGTATACCACCATGTCCAGTTTTGGTGGCTGGCTTGGCGTACTTCAGGGCCAGCATGTGGTACTGGGGATTGAACCTGGGTCCTGGTGCTTGCCAGGCAGGTGCTTACGCTGCTGAGCTATCTCCCTGGCCCTAAATGCCTTTTAAAGATGGAAGAAAACCCTTGGAATTAGATAGGTTAAGTGCACTGCTCCACATCACCCCACTGGGCAGTGGTCATCGGAACGCCGCTGCTGCACTGAGAGCGACTTCAGCTGCCTTTGCTGCTGCCGGGGCACTGCGCTACCCTACGTACTTTCATCTGTACAGGTTAATTCAGCTCTCAGGATGAACCCTGCTGCTCCAGGCCAAGGTCAAGAAGACTGATGGAAAAGTACGTTTATGGATGTACTCACGGCAGTCTGACTCTAGAGGTTGGGTTTCCCCCTTTAGGCCACAAAGATAATTTCACTCAATTTTAAGAGGACCAAAGATGGATGGTACCTCAGAAGCAAGCCTACTCTCTGGAGTTTCTTTGGGAGGGGCAAGAAGAGCATTCATCTCATTATGACATTTAAGAACTAAAAATATTGTAGTATTTGCACCAGGGATGATAGCCTAGCCTTTCCTTATTATAGTAACTATTCTGTACGCAGAGTCAAATTATACATTTTCTGTCATGACTTGAGAACTGAACTTACAGTATTTGGAACAAATGAGACCTGGCTTCCTTATCTATCAGAGGGGTGCTCTCCAACCTGACAATGACATTGATGATGTCACCAGAGATGACCAAGAAGGCCACCCAGACAACAGGCAGTGGCCACAGGCTCTCGTGGTGGAGCAGCCACACCCTGGTGCATCTGCTCTCTGAGTAATATATTTTGGGCCCACAACCTTCTTCATGACCAAGCTTGGGAAAGTTCCTTCTGGCCTCACAATTTCATCAGACCTTGGAGTGGTTAAAGGTTGAGTGAAGAGTTCCCTCTGCTGTCTGAGTGCGCTTATTGCTACAGGTGTCCCCAGCAGAAAGGGGCGGTATTCATCCTTACCTACCCTTGACTCACAAAGACCTTCTGGTCGCAACGTCCTCTTGGCATCGAGGGCTAGGGCCCTGCTGCCATTTTCTTCCTTCCAAAACATGTTTTTATACCACCTGCCACAGCCCATCACCTACAGGTAGGGTGTGTAGAATCAGAACCACACCTAGTTAGGCTCGGCGAGAGAGTCAGAGGACTAAGCACCTGCTCTGGCAAGTGCAGGAACCAGGGTTTGATCTCTAGTCCTGTGTGCCGCCCTGCCAGCCCTCCCCTGGGGCTTGCTGAGCTGGCCACCAAGTCCAGTGGTGCATGCCTATAATACCAGCACTGGGGAGGCTGAAACACAAGAGGATCTCTACGAGTCTGAGCTGTACAGTGAGACCCTGTACCAAATACGTAAAAATGAAAAATACATTAATAATAAAATTAAATTAAAAAAAGAATCGCACCAAGTTTACTCTCCTAGTGCAGCCTTTCATTCTGAGCTGGAGAACATGAGTCAGGAGGAAGTGCAAGGGGCAGGATTGCCTGCATCCCTTTGCCTGGAATCCTTGGGTTTGCATGTCAGGCCTGAGCTGCTCAGCACAGGGTCCGTGACCCTTGGACCCTAACCTCTGCCACACTCTCCCGTCCCCTTTCACCCTGCGTCCCAACATCAATCATCTTCCCCATCGGCATAGCAGTGGCAGTAATATTAATCGTTGCTAATACCTGTCAAGTGGTGTCTGCATCTAGGCACTCTGCTCGACATGCTACGTGCGTTGTGTAACTGAAGTCTCCCATTCACCCTTATTTCATTCTTTATTTTTTGTATTTTAGGGAAGTGTCTACAGGGTGTTCAGGGTCTCACTAGTAGATTGGACTCTAGTGATCTGCCTGTTGACAGCCTCCCAAGAGCTGGCATTACAGGCGCACACCACCACGACCAGCCTCAATTGCCGTCTCAGGGCACCCTGGGGATGGGGTTAGCATGGCAGGCCAAGGGATTGAACCCCTGGCCCCTGTGCTTGCTTGTAGGCCCTTTAATCACCTACCCTAATATGCTGATTCCTTCATGTTATGTATGGAAACCAAGGCTTTAAAACATGCAGTGACTTGTTCACATCTATGCAGCAGGTTGTTGGTGAGGTGGAGATTCAAACTCAGGCTGCATGACCAGATCTTTTTGTGTGGAACTGGAGCTGGATTCAGTGCCCAGTGGATTGCTGATCGCTGTGCTGCCCTTTGGAGGCTTGGGGTGCCTTGAGCGCTCACTGTTGACTTGGCATTCCGCTTTGGCAGCCCCTCCTACCCCCTTTACAAGGGGCCCTCCTCCAGCCCACTATCATTCGCAACTCAGCCTAGCAGTCATCTCCTCCATCTCTGCCCTTCTTTGGTTGGCCTTTTGGTTCTTTCATGAGGCTGAGAGCTCTCAGGATGGAGACTGCTGCCTGTGCATCATTACCAGTCAGAAGAGGCACTGTGCATGTCTGTTGCATTCCGTCTCCTGCGCAACCCTCTAACTTCTCTCTGTGGAGATGAGTTGTGTACTCAGGGCATGAGCGAGGTGAACAGGGAGGTTTGGCTTGTCTTTCCCCACGCCTCATTTGCTCCAGGGCTGCAGGCCAGGTTAACGGCCGGATGAGGAAAAACAAGCTCTGGATGCTGGCTGAAGGCCCTGGCACCTTGCTGCTTGCCTGGTCCCTGCACCACGTGGGAGGCTAGCAGCAGGCAGAAGCACAAGCCTGGGCTTGTCTCTCACATACAGGCTCCTGGTTGTTTTTCCCCTTTGATCTTCACATGTTCAGTCGGGTAACCTCAGTTGTAATTCTGAGAAACCCAAAGATGGAAAAAATAACCTTATTCTGAAGGCTTCACATTTCCTGAAGTCAAATGGCATGGCATGTTTTAGTTTTTCTTAAAGAATCTTTTTGGTAGGCTCAAGTAAAAGGAAAACAAAAGCAGCTCCTTTTCAGAATGGTATTGCCTGCAGAGAATGGTGGCATGTGCCTACAGCTGAAGTGCTCTGAAAGGTGGAGGCAGGAAGATTGTAAGCTTAAACAACTCAGTGACACCCAGTCTCAAAATGAAAAGAAACCTTTTGTTAAAAAAGGGATGATTGTGTATGTAGTTCAGGGTAATGGCTTTGAGTTCAATCCTCAATATGGAAAGAAGGGAAGAAAGAAAGAAAGAAAGAAAGAAAGAAAGAAAGAAAGAAAGAAAGAAAGAAAGAGGCAGGCTGGGGAGATAGCTCAACATCTTAAGCACCTGTTTGGCAAGTGCAAGGTCCTGAATTTGATACCAAGTACCAAAACAAAGAAAACAATATCAACAAGACAACAACAACAAAAGCAAGAAAAAGAAAGAAGAGAGACAGAGACAGAGAAAGAAAGGAAGAGAAAAAGGAAGAAAGAACAAAATGAAGTAAAGAATGACAATACCAAGGCTAGTTCAGGGAGCAAGACATAGCAAGGTGCAAGAAGAGCAACATGTGTTAGACGTGGAGAAGACTGGGAGGAGGGCAGTCTCTGTCCTTCATACGTCATGAGAGTGCCAGTGGGGACAGTGTGGCCTCATCTTCAAGGCCCAAACTCTAAGGTCCTGAGTGGAAGCAGAAGCAGGTCAGACCCCAGTTAAAGTGAGCACTACCTTCACGCCCATTTCTCAGATGCAGCAATGGGAAGACCTACATGAGGTACTCCAGAGCCACACATAAGTCACTGAGCGCTGTTCAGAGGTTGGTGTGCTGCTCTGGAAGTAATGAAGCCCTTGCCAAGAGCTGGGTAGAGCTCTGTGAGGATCAGCAGCCAATGCAGCTCAAGTGTCCTCATTGCCTGGGTGTCCACAACACGACCTTCCCTTTGGGTGTGAAGACACGGAGTGGCTCCTTGGTAGGAGAAGCAGAGAGCTGGTGCTCCAGGCAGCTGGACTCTTGCAGTGTCCCCAGAGTGTGGAGGACCAGGAGCGTAGAGACCAAAACACACCCTGCTTCCCTGGTTTTCCATAAAGGATGTCTGGTGGGCTGTTTGAGAAGCAAAACACAAAGGTATGGAAAATAAGAGCCATGTGCAGCTAGGGCTGAGCTGGCCTGGGAGTTAGGATCCTGGGACCTCCTCTTTGTGGGCTCTAGCATCCCTATCCAGTTGGAGATTGATGTGGACTGATGACCCAGAGGGCCTTTCTAGCTTGTGCTGGAAGGTGGAACACTCTCATCTGTGTCCTGCCAAGACTACAGGGGTGGGCTTAGAGAGGGGCCAGCCAGGCCCAGCTCTGACTGCTTCATGGGCATATGGCTGTGCTGCAGGAGGAGATTGTGTTCAGATTTTTCAGATGCCTACAGTAATAGAACAGAACATTCCAGCTCTGGGGACAGTCTCAGCCATGAGTAGGCTGGTTCTGGGAAATTTTGATGGTTGTTAGAAGTTGCCTAAGAGAATCTTTGGTCCAG